CTCTAAACACTACTGTATACAATCTTGTGACTTGCATGCAGCACAGTCACCAGACATTCTCTGAACCCCGACAGCTAAACACGATGAACAGAGCCAAAACCCGAAAGCGTACCTGCATTCTTGCTCTTTGCGTAACTCCAGGCTGATGCATTCCAGGGCTTTCCTGCTAGGCCATCAGGGCGGGCGGAGGTTCACGGCTGCGATATTCCAATTCCAATAAACTTGCTCACTTTACCGACTACCGACTTCAACAGAAAATTTGATTCTGCGACCTGGCCTTCCGGCGCACGCGCCTGCTGCCAGTGATTCTTTCCTTTCCCCTTGCCCTGCATAGCGGAATGTAGAGACGCTTTGGACGAGCTCATGTGGACACATTCACATACGTACGCTTACGTATGCCTATGCAGAGCGGGGAGTGTGAAGTGGGAGTGGGGAGGGGAAGTGGGAGTGGGAGTGGGAGTGGGAAAGGGCAAGGGAGTGGTGGTGGTACTAGTCGTCGTCGTAGTCTTAGTCTTAGTCGTAGTCGTAGTCGCAGTCGCAGTCCCAGTCGTAGTCGTAGTAGTAGTCGCCGTCGTCGTAGTAGTAGTAGTGGTAGTGGTAGTGGTAGTGGTAGTGGTAGTGGTAGTGGTAGTGGTAGTAGTAGTAGTAGTAGTAGTAGTAGTAGTAGTAGTAGTAGTAGTAGTAGTAGTAGTAGTAGTAGCAGTAGCAGGAGCAGCAGCAGCAGCAGTAGAAGTAGCAGTAGTAGGAGTAGTAGGAGTAGGAGTAGGAGTAGGAGTAGGAGTAGGAGTAGGAGTAGGAGTAGGAGTAGGAGTAGTAGTAGTAGTAGTAGTAGTAGTAGTAGTAGTAGTAGTAGTAGTAGTAGTAGTAGTAGTAGTAGTAGTAGTGGTGGTGGGGTTTGGTGGTGGTGGTGGTTGTGGTGGTGGTGGCGGAGTTGTGGCCAGCACGTTCCTGATGTGGGACGATTTTTCGGGCTTGCGGTGCGGGCGGTTTCAATGCATCGGCTCAGTCCTCTTGGGCTGCTCTTGGGTTTGGAGAAGCCCATTCCCAGCATCACCCGACACCTCAACCTTAAGGACCGAAAGCGGAAAACCCTGAGCCTAACCCTCAATGCCCTGCACCTCTTCATCAGAAGATCAACACCCTGGCTAACCCTGCCAGGGCCTTTGGGATTTGGCGTCGCGCCGAGTTTGGATTCCATGTTGAAGCTGCAATGAAAACGCATTGTTGTGGGGAGTATGCGACGCCTATGCACTCACTGAGACGAGTGTACCAGGAATTACTCAAACGAAGTCTAGCACGAACGATAGATATGAAGCCCTTTCCAGGAACCACCCAAGGAATCAGATCAACAGCGCTATCCAGATCATGCTGTTTCTTTGCAGGGAATTACGGGGTTCGAGGCATTTATCCCCATTTCAACCCATCCTTGAAAACCTCATTCCCAGATTCTCTCTTCATATGAATCTTAGTATCATGAGCTGTATCACTACTCCAATGTGCTTCATATGGGTTCTTTTGATATCATTATTATAGCTCTCAGTTGTTATTATTGTGATTATTATGATTATGTTTATTATTACGATTATAGTTCCTACTCTTCGCATTGTTGTTCTTACTGGTTCTCCGCGCTTGAGGCCCTGGCGTGGGACTGGCCGGGGCTTGGATGGAACCCAAGAGGGTGCCGTGCTCTGGTGGAACCTTTGACGAGGGGTGAGGGGTTTAGGGTTTAGGGTGTTTGGGGTTTAGGAATTTAGAATTTATGGGTTTAGGGTTTAGGGGTTTGGAAATTGGGGTTTAAGGAGTTTCGGGTTTCAGGGTTTCACGGCCCCTTCAAAAGAATTGCAAGTTTATGGTTTTCCGGCTCCGTCCAGTGCTTGCCCTGTTCCCTACATATCAATCCTCTACTCCCGAACAGTTTTTCCAAGGTCCTTTGCTCAAAAGGAAAGCAGAGACCCCAAACCCTGAACCAGAAACCAAAGCCTAAACGGGTAGTTTCTAGACTACCCTGAACCACTCTAAACCCTGGATCATCCTAGCCTCTCAACCCTGAACCTTCAAAAACCCTTGATGCGCTTTCTCTCCTTTGCCCTCCTCCTCCTCCTTGCAAGAAACTCTACAAAACCCTCATCCTCCTCTCTGTAGGAAAGCCCATGACAGGACTCCAAGAAGCTCGTATACAAACACTTATAAAACTCCGCAACTTCCCTACTCATAAGCCCCATTTAAAAACTTGAAATTCCTAAGGCCACGGCTCGTGAGCAAGCAAGGGAGCGCACCTTTGCCGCTGTCGGACGGCCGATGTCTTGTTGGTATTGCTTGAACTAGGGTTACCCAGGGGCTCCAAAATAGTTCCTTTTTGGGTGTGTCCTCTGGTTGGTTAGGGACTCTGATATACTACCCAAAAAGGAACTACTTCGGAGCCCCTGGGCATAAGCATAGGACGTTATTTAGGCATAGGACTCTACTTAGGGGTCCTCGTTTTTGCGATCATTGTTAAAGTCGACCTTAAGATCCGGAGCAACACAAAAGCCAGTGCCTCTGCACCGAGTACACGGACCTCTCTGTCTCAGCACTTAGGGTTTCAGGTTTAGGGTTTACGGTACACCTTGAAAACGTCTCAAGGTTTCGGGTCTACCGTATGTGTGTATATACATATACATACATATGTGTTGTGAATACATATCTCTATATACAACGACATAGAAAACTATAAAGATGTGGATATAGATATAGCTAGAGATACAGATATGGATCTAAATATAGATACAGATTATAGATACAGATATATGCAAATGTACATATATAAGACTTATATATGCGTGTATGTATTTAATGAGAGGGGGAAACCAGGTTGGCCCCCAAATCGTGTTCTTGGCAGGTATTACCAAAGAAAGTTTGTTTTAACACACGGGTTTCGTTTTAAAACACCATTTTCCCCTGTTCTTGCCACTGGAAAAGAGCGCACAAGTGGTGGAAAAGCTAAAAAGCCAGCTTTCGTACCAAACCGAAATAAAATCAAAGAAACTAAACAAGCACGGAAAAAACACAAACATCTGTACAACAGATAGAGCTGGACTTTGTGTTGTTATTGTTGTTGGTTCGCGTTTGTCTTTTAGTGTTGTTTTGATTGTTGGTGTCTTTGGTTTTTGGTTTTGTTGCTTTTGGGTTCTCTTGCCCATACGTGCCCACACCGCAGTCGTCGGTTTCCCATGCGGAGCTGCTTGCCGGAGCTTTATGCCAACATTTTCCAGAGTTCTGCTGAGAACCGACTATAGTAAACGAGAAGCTTGCTTTCAATGCTTAGGAATCTAGCCAATGCAGCGCAAAATTCTTAACAAATTGCAACGTGTCCAATCTTCGTGCAAGTATAAATCGAAAGTCCATATTTGATGCTCAAACAATAGGTCGAAACTGTTCTCGATGCATGTATCTACCCTTTTTTGGATAAGTAACTTCTTGAAATCGAATGACAACTTAGCAAGTGTCTAGTATGTGTAACTACCTCCACACTCATCCACAGAAAATGTAAATACAGAGATATATTAAAAATATACATACATATATATGCTACTCACCCCTGCTCGGCCCTCGGTTATCTACCTTTTCGTGGCTTTCCAGGGCACGTGAGGAAGCATTCTTCCAAAATATCTAGGTCATATTCAAATTTCAATTAGAGCCCGCGTCTCTCCCTCTCTCTCCCTGTCAGCTCTGGCATTTTGCAGGGGGATACCATAAATCTGAAAAACATTATATATATATATATATATATATATATGTGCGCATTCAACTTGAGTACGAAACCAACAAGTAATCTGTATACCCTCTGATCCTAGTACGTGGATAACATGTTAGTTGATGTTTGATTAACAGTCAACGTGTTTTTTCAGTGTGTTGCATATGTCCGGATACTGTCTCACAATATGCTCACACCAACCACACGCGCATTACATGTTTAGTATGTGTTGAAACACAAGATGTACAACGCAATCCAAAGCCAAATAGATTAATCAATAAATTTTCATGGAGCAGAAGCAGGACCTTGCCTATTATCTCATCAGGGTTCATTGAGCCAAGATAAACTACCAATATCATTGCATGTTTGATAACTGACTACGAAAAATCTGAACTACGTTTTTAGTCCTAGAAGATATGGAACTTAACAGACGTACTAGGTAAGTGCTTTTCAATTTTTGTGGATATTCAATATCCCTTCTTTCAGCATACAAGAGATAACGGTAACTACAAAAAGACAGAATCACCGTCTATCACCGTCTACTACCTAATGGCGGGGACATAGCACATGAAACATACAACTCCAAGATGAGGCGTTTGTAGAACTATCAGTTTTCGTGACATAGCCTTAATAACTGGTTGAGGTATCGGACTAGCTGTTACGTGGATGCTATTTGAGTTGGACTGAAGAGTTTGCCACCATCCGGGGCAATATCAGTAGTGAACGGTTGGTCTTGTTTTTGAATTTCAACTACATGTGCATTGCTTATTAGTTGCCTGACCAATTACCCGTGATGAATAACGAAGGAACTTGTCAAAATCACTGTGTCGTCTCAAAAACCCACTCTAGTTTGCCAAAGTGCTGCGCTGTCCCAAAAAACCAAAAAAAGCAATGGACACCTTGCACCGCGAGGTCCCAGGACCTCAAAATATTGTTTATTTTGGTCTTTGGGACAGTACAGCACTCTGGCCCCAAACAAAACGATGTTTAGAGGGCTTCCTTGACGCACGCGCGGCCGCGGAAAAGGCACGGCGCAGCAGACTTTCTTCTCGCGTCCTACTAGCTTTGATTTACAAAAGATTTGTGTTTGCCGTCACCCTGAGAGCTGCTTTCATTGCAAATTGTTCTGGTTAATCAGTGAACCACTATTTGTACTCGTTTGTTGGAGATGGTAGAGAGGTGTGTTTTGTTTCTAGCGGCCAATCTCGCTGACGATTTAATGTTCAGGGTGATGAATGCGATATTTGAATATAGCAGTGCGCACTATTTAAATTTGTTGGGTAAAAGAGATCGAACAATCTAAGTGGGTGAATTTGTTCATGCTGTTTCCTGAATCACATCTAAATACATAATACGATTTGCTGTTTGGTGCATAAGAAGACGGAAACATTTGCTTCAGGCATTGTAGCAGGACTATGATTATTACAATAAGGTGGCAGGAGTGTAACAGGACAAAGTTTATAGCGTAATCGCCGTTAATACTACTGACTGGCTAGGGTTTCAGGTTTAGGGTCTGCGGTAGGTGTGTGTATATATATATGTACATATATAGATATACATATACGCATACACATATGTATAAAAATTAATATGTATATATACATATACATATGTATGTATGTGTGTGCGCGCACCCTTTGTTTCCTCAGGGCATGGCCATTCGTCGCAGGATCCACAGACTGCGAGCGCGCCCCCTCGCTGTCCTCGGGCTCGTGCTGCACTTCCTTTTCCGAGGGATCGCCTGGGCGAGGAGTCATGGCTCAGGAGTGAGGAAAGTGTAGTGTGGGGCTTAGATGGGCTTCGTGCACCTGCGCAACACCGATCGCATGTCGCAGTGGCACAAGGTCGACAGAGAGGGAAAGAGGAGAGAATGAGAGCGAGGAAGAAAGACACAGTGCGGGAGAGACAGACTGTGAGAGACACACTGACACAAAAAGGACGTAAAGAGCGAGAGAGGGAGAGAGAGAGAGAGAGAGAGAGACACAAGGTCGCATGTTGCCACGACGGGAGAATGAAGCCTGAACCCCATCCGACCATAGGCACCGCACCCCCCCTCTTGTCTCGGTACACCGACCTGAAGGCCGCCAGGAACGGGAACCCAGGGTTCAAGGTGTTGTGGAGGAAGAGCTCTAAAGATTGAACATTCCGGCTTGCTTGGTGGGGGGGGGTTGTTAGGGCGTGGCAAAGGTCCAAACCTGATACTCCCCACATCGTGCAAGCAAAGCTTCAAATCTGCACTCGAGTCGGGCTTTAAGAGCAGGTTCGTGGTAGGCCAGCAAGAATTGTAGTAGTTGTGGTAAGATCGAGTCGGTTTCCTAGTATTTGCGTCATTTTACAGTACGGTTGTATGTGAAGCTGCTGCACAAATTGGCGCATCAGTGGGCGCACTATCCGCAAGTCCGAGCAACTCTCGCAGTCAGCCCAGGGCTCCGGGCTGCTGAGCCTGCTGAGGCTGCTCCAACCTCAGGAACTCATCCTCTGGCAGAAAACGATGCTTAGCTTCCTGGAACACTCTCCGCCAAACGCGTGACGACTTCCAGGCGCCTGGCATCTCAAGCAGTGAGGTAATTGCTGCCTTGTTCCTCCGGGGGAAGCAGACAGGTCACTGCCGCCCACCGTTCTCTTCTGAGGACACTCGGTGGTCGCGTGTTTTGTTCGGCCCTTTTCTTTTTTTCTCCGTTGTCCTTGTTGGTATGTGTATTTGCAAGGATTTTGTGTGCATTTGCACGGATTTGGTGTGTATTCGCATGGATTTGGCGTGCATTTGCCAGGATTTTGCGTGCATTTTGCATGGATTTGGTGTGTAATTTGCATGGATTTGGTGTGTATTTGCAAGGATTTAGTGTGTATTTGCATGGATTTGGTGTGTATTTGCATGGAATTCGTGAGTATTTGCAAGGATTTCGTGTGCATTTGCATGGGTTTGGTGTGTATTTGCATGGATTTGGTGTATTTGCATGGATTCCGGGTTTATTAGCATGGACTTGCTGTGTATTTGCAAGGATTTTATGTGTATTGGCAAGCATCCATGGCCAAAACCTAATGACGTCCATGGTCTAGTGCATTCGAGAACAAAGCATCCGTGGCCACAGCCTAATGACGTCCATGGTCTAGTGCATTCGAGAAGAAAGCATCCATGGCCAAAACTCAATGACGTCCCTGGTCTACTGCATTTGAAAAGACAGCATCCATGATGACCTCCATGGTCTAATGATTTGGGAAGAGAGCATCCATTGCCAAAACCTCATGACGTCCATGGTCTGGCGCGTTTGAGACAAGAGCATCCATGGCCAAAACCTGATGACCCCCGTGGTCTAGAGCCAATGACGTCCATGGTCTAGTGCATTTGAGAAGAAAGCACCCATGGTCAAACCCCAGTGATGTCAAGGGTCCAGTGAATTTAAAACCCAATGACGTCCATGGTCTAGTGCATTTGAGAAGAGAGCAACCATGGCCAAAACCATGCCTCATGCTGGGCCAATGCAGCTGCCACTCGACATGAACATGCTGCACGACGGGGCGTCGCACCAGGGCGTAGCGGTAGTAGTAGTAGTAGTAGTAGTAGTAGTAGTAGTAGTAGTAGTAGTAGTAGTAGTAGTAGTAGTAGTAGTAGTAGTAGTAGTAGTAGTAGTAGTAGTAGTAGTAGTAGTTGTTGTTGTTGTTCTTGCCGTTGTAGTAGAAGTAGTAGAGTAGTGGTAGTAGTGGTCGTTGTCGTCATCGGCGGAGTAGTAGTAGTAGTAGTAGTAGTAGTAGTAGTAGTAGTAGCA